AATTTAGACATAAATTGGAATCAGCTACTAAGCTAATAAAACTAAGTGATGACTGTTGAAAAGTTTACTGTAATTATTAACACAGTAGGTAGAATTTCAGATAAAGCAGAAATTATATCGTCAGCAAACTTATAATATTTTGCTTTTAAAAAGTACCCTATTGTAAGAAAATTATTTTATTATGTTTTTTTTCTTCAAAAAGGAATAAATAAATAAACATGTGTGATGTTTTGTGGAATAAAACAGTAAAGGATCTACTAAAGTATTTTTAAGTTTATTAAAAATTGCTTGCTGCGTTCGCCCGCTAATGTTGTGGAGGATTTAGAAGAAGATAAATGTCCATTAATATCTCAGTTACTTTATTCAATTGTGTACACATGAAAATTCAAGAAAAGATCCTACTCTTTTCAAAAAGGCTGCCAGCAACGCTCCTGCAATTCCCCTGATTTTGCAGTTGTTCGTGGGCGTCGGTGGTTACTTAACATCAGGTGAGCATGTTCGTTTGCCTCCTCATTTATAAATCGATTGCCTCCTCTTTTATAAAACATTATGTTTTTGATTTTTCTTCACCTCCGAAGTATCCGATATTCAAAACTATTCAATGCATTAGTTATTTAACAAACATTTTATGTGGTTACGTTATTGAGAAAATTCCTGTTTTACAAATATGGACCTTTGACGCCTTCACATTTGAAAGTTTTACTCAGTGAAAAGTTCTCAGAAATTTTCTATTGAGTATTTGTTTTTTGGATCGTGTAGTGGCGGAAAAGGAGTATCCACAACCTAAGATCATCTCGCAGGTGACTCACAGGTTCACTTCACAGAGTGAAATGAAAACAGGAGATATGCAGCGGCATCTTTCTAATAATAATTCCAAATGATAAAAATCAACGATGATGCCGTGATGCGCAACCGGTAAGTTTATAATGGTTAAAAAATTAATCATCTATACAAATAAATAAAATTGAAGTGTCTGTTTGTAATGTTAAAATAACAGCGTTTTACTAAATGCATATGAAAGTATATACGGTACTAATAACAAAAAAAAACATTATTTTTAAATTTTTGTCTGTGTGTCTATTTCTGAATTAGGGATCCACGCAAAAAAATTAAAACCCTTGAAATCGTAGTAAATTCCTCGCGGTTGAAGCCGCGAGGGACAGCTAGTTTAAAATAAATATTGCGAAAAACATAAAAATCTCCCATATGAAGAAAGCAATCGGGGAGACCATTATGGTGTCCCTGTCCCCCCAGACTGTGAAATTCGGTTTTAGTGTTATCTGGTTTCACTGTAATTACATTTTTTTAAATATTTAGTAATATATAGTACTATATCTTAACGAATAAGGAAAAAAAGTATATAAGTTATTTATTTTCAAACGGGACAGTATTTAAGCACTCGAATTCAAAGTGTCGGTATTTCAGAAATTAATTATCGATTATCAATTATCGCTTTAACAACTGAATACCAGAATATATGCCCGCTATAACTTCTAAAAGTTTAAAACTTTAATTGAAAAGAAGCTTATTATAATATAAAAACAAGATTGACACTATACCCTTGGAATTAGATCATGCCTTGCTTTTTCTTAATGTTTTTATATTTAATTCTGCAACATAATATGATGTACAATTAAATATGAACCATTAATTAATATTTGAAAAAAGGTCAGGTTGTTCCCAAGACAGTAGTTTTTCGAACCAATATTAAAACCACATTAAATTACTTTGAATAAAGTATCCTTATAATTTAAATTATAAAGATCTATTCTATACTACTTTCTAGATAGTTTCCTAGATACAGGCACAAAGTAGTGCTGCATAGAGTTCTCTTAAAATACCTTGAATACGTTTTGCATTTTGCATGCATTCGCTCATCACTTATGTTCACGTTGTACGTACGAGTAGCATAACTTCTAATAGAACGGTAAAAGCATGGACAAACTTCTTTATTTATAGTTGCAATAGTTGGAAATGCGCTATACCTTAGCTTTCTTAAAAATACGTACTATACAATGTTTTTAATCATATTTACACATTATAAATTGATATAAAACATAATATAACCTTAGTGAAATTTCAATATTTTATGACGTTTTGATTTTTTAAGTTTTTCACACACAAAATCTGCACTGCTGTGTTCCGACCCGACCACCTTGTCATGGGACGTATTTATTTATTTAATTACGTAATTTATTTATTTATTTATTTATTTATTATTATTATTATGGGGTATCTATAGTTTTCTCATCTGGTTGGGCAGTATAAATATATAATTGTAAATGAACATACATACATATCCATAAAATAGAATAGATACATAAAAAATACACAAATATATAAACACTTAACCAGATGGAAGCCCTCGGCAGGGGAGACCAAACGGCCGAGGGTTAGGGGGAAAGGGAAAGAAACCGGCGGACGATGCGGGCGGTATCGAGGAGCACCGCCTTCTGTATTTGAGCTTGGAGCGATCCGTCACGGAGTCCCAGTCGCCTCAGATGACCCGAGAGGCTGACTGGGATTAACCCGTTCGCAGAGACGACCACAGGAATAATTTCGGCCGGCAGACCACCCCACATGTCGGTCACCTCGTGAGCCAGGTCCAGATATTTTGTCAGCTTATCTGTTTCAGCTTTCACGAGGTTCTCGTCATAAGGAATTGTAATGTCAACCAAAAATATTTTTTATAGGATTGAGTGACAAACGAGCACACAGTCCACCTGATGGTAAGTGGATGCTATGATGAGCCTCTTATCCAGTAAAAAGGGTCTCCGGTTTTCTACATTCACCATACGAAACACAGCAGAGTTAAGCTGCTATTTTACGCTGGTGAGAGCGTGGTCCTTCCCCGGTCGAGCCGACGCATTCGTGCTACAACTATACTACTAATATAGCTGCAGCATGGCTCTACCACGTAGAAAATATTATTATTAATGATGTTATCTATAAAGTTTTCTCATCTGGTTGGGCAGTATAAATATATAATTGTAAATAAAAATGGTAAACATACATAAATTTCAATAACATAAAATAAATACATAAAAATACATAAATATATAAAAACCCAACCGGATGGAAGCCCTCGGCAGGGGAGACCAGACGGCCGAGGGTTAGGGGGAAAGGGAAAGAAACCGGCGGACGATGCGGGCGGTATCGAGGAGCACCGCCTTCTGCATTTGAGCCTGGAGCGGTCCGTCACGGAGTCCCAGTCGCCTCAGATGACCCGGGAGGCTGACTGGGATTAACCCGTTCGCAGAAACGGCCACAGGAATAATTTTGATCGACAGACCACCCCACATGCCGGTAACCTCGTGAGCCAGGTCCAGATATTTTGTCACCTTATCTGTTTCGGCTTTCACGAGGTTCTCGTAATAAGGAATGGTAATGTCGACCAAAAAGATCCTTGACTGTGCCCGGTCCATCAGCACAATATCAGGCTTATTAGCAAGAATAGTCCTGTCTGTGATGATGGCCCGGTCCCAGTAGAGCCTGGCGCGGTCATTTTCGAGCACAGCTTCCGGTAAGTACTTATAATATGGCAGTTTCCGATCCACGAGGCCGTATTTCAGAGTGAGCTCCTGGTGTACAATCCTGGCTACTAGATTGTGTCTGTGCAAATAACCTGATCCTGTATCGCACAGACAAAACCCTCGGTTTCCCCAAAGAGGTCACCGAAACGTAGCCAGTGAAGGGAGGCGACTGTGTCTACGAAAGGCTCATGTAGAGCCTTGTAGAACCTCCCGTGGAGCTCCTTCTCCTTCCATACGATCTCCCGGTCGGAAATGCACTGTACTGCTGGGTTTTGCCATTGCTCGTTGGCTAAGGATAGAGGCGTGAGCCCTTTATCACACGAAATGACGTCCCTATAGAATGGATCACCCGATCTCACCAGAAAGTAGTTACGGAGGCTACACACTTCACGATTATGCATGGTGAGAGCGCTCAAAAAGCCGCGCCCACCATGTTTCCGTGGCAAGTTCAGCCTCATTACTGACGATCTCGGGTGATGCATCCTGTGAGACGTCATAACAGTGCGGACTTTTCTATCCAGAGCGTTCAGTTCGGTCTGAGACCACCTGAGTATGCCGAAGGTATATATGAGGATAGGCATGACCCAACCGTTATATGCGTGTCTTATTCACACCTGACAAAAGACTGTTGAGCACTTTGGTCAAGCGTGCATAAAACACATCGCTAACTGACTATTTCATGTCCGCCTCATCGATACCTATGTTCTGTGACATACCCAGGTATGAGGGGCATAGATAAGTCTATACCCTCAGAGTTAGCAACCCTACCCCTTTCGACATGGAGGACCGCACACTTATCCGTCCCCAGCTCCATTCTAATGGAACTGCTAAAATCACAAGTGATGTTCAGCAATTCCATAAGATGGGAGCGACTGGAGGCGAATAATTTGAGATCATCCATATAGAAAAGGTGGGTCACCTATGTACCTCCTTTCCGAAGCTGAAATCCCCTCCCGGAACCCTGCAGTAAGGTACTGAGAGGGTTCAGAGAGAGGCAGAACCAGATTGGACTCAGACAATCGCCCTGGAAGATACCCCTTCTTATCCTTATGTGGTTCTCCGCAGCCGTCATCCGCTCGCCTAGATGACAAAGGATCGTACTCCACTGCCCCATACACTGCCCGAGGAAGTCTCTAACTGTACAGTCAACCTTGTACAGCTCGAGGACCCTCTTCAGCCATGTATGAGGCACCGAGTCGAATGCCTTTTTGTAGTCTATCCAGGCGGTAGGTTCCGACGGTTGCGATTAACCACTTTGCCAATGACCGCGTCAATGAGGAGTGGTTCCTTGGTTCCATGACCACCGCCCCGACATCCATTTTGAGCGCGCGATATCACCTGATTTGAGTTCAGGTGACGAGTGATTCTCGCGCTCAAAATGGATGTTAGTGTCTTATATATCGTGGGTAGACACGTAATGGGGCGGTATTTGCTCGGGGCTATGGTATCCCGGTCTTTAGGAACCAAATGAGTGATCCCAGTAGTGAAGAGGCTCGGGAGCGACTTTTGGTCGAGAGCCTCTTGAAATTGTCGGGCGAGCACAGCGTGACACACCACGAACCCCTTCAGCCAAATCAGCGAATTCAAGGTAAAGTCGGAGGAGCTGTAACAGTATGGAAAAACCATCAGGAAGTACGGAAATCGACATTCAGGCTGGAAAATTACTGCAGTGTCTATCAAGCTGAACTCACGGCAATCTTAAGAGCATTGGAACTGATGCACAAACACAAAGACCTAAGGAAAGGCATCATCTTAAGTGATTCACGCTCTGCCTTAGAATGCCTGAGCGATACATCGTCTCTGCATCCATTAGCTGTAGAAATACGAGATCGAATAAAGTCACTATTAGACAAAGGAGGCGAGGTTAACCTTTGCTGGATCAAAGCACACATCGGAATAGCCGGTAATGAAAGAGCCGATGAACTGGCGAAATATGCTGCGCTTTCGAACAAGCAAACTCCAGTATACGATAAATTCCCCCTGTCCTTCGCAAAGCGACTTGCCCGGGACTCTACTTGCGTAGAGTGGCAGTTACGATACAGTGAAGCTACTACGGGAGCTGTAACAAAGAAATTCCTACCGGACATAAAAGAAGCATATAGAACACTCAAGCATATAAAAATAGACAATTTAAAAGTACAACTACTAACAGGTCATGGAGGTTTTAGGGCTTATTTATATAAATGTAAGCTAGCTCAGTCTCCATCTTGTGTTTGCAGTAACGATGAAGAAGAAAATATCGAACATTTATTAATAGACTGCCCTAGATTCGCCATACAAAGACTTGAATGTGAACAAAAGATGGGGATGATGCTTACAGTTTATAATTTAAGGCATGCAATCAACAACGATGACTGTCGGACCCATTTCCTTAAGTTTTCAGAAGCAGTGGTACGCACTGCGGGTAAGGCCAATGGATCCAAATTAGTTTAAGTTATAATATAAGATGATAAGCCTTATATGGTTGGAGTAACAAAATGTTCCATTAAGAGATAAATGGAAGATTTTGTTCTTTCAAAGTATTAGTTATTATATAAATCAAAAGAATTATTAATAAATTGGCTTATACCACTCAAAAAAAAAAAGAATATATTATAGAAAAAAAAAATTAAGTACAAAAAAAAAATCTGTAAAAAGAAAAAAGGGGAAAAAACGAGAAAGAAAAAAAAAAGAAAGAAAAAAGAAAAAAAAAAAGAGAAATCAAAAAAAAAAAGCAAACTAATAATAATTAAAGAAAAATGGGTGGCGCCCTCTGTACTCTCTAATAATCTAAGTTAGGTACACTACTTTATTTTAACTTTAGAGGTAAGTAAACTTCAGTTTGGATTATAGACAACACTGTAAGAATGAAAGTAGAAAAAGAAAGAAAAAAAAAAAAAAGTAAAATAGTAAAATTTTAAGCTACTATCAATAGTTATAAGTATATAAGAGTAAAATCAATGTATAAAAAAAAAAAAGATAACCATAGTTAAATCTTAAGTAATAAAGGAATAGTTAGAATAGTTAGTTCTTGTAAGAAAAATATTTATATATAATATATATATGTAGAAACTAAAAAAAACAAAAAAAAAAAAAAAAAAAAAAAAACAGCGTTTAAGTATTTAGTATAAATTTTACACATTAGTAAAAAAGGATGCTGCATGTACAGCAGCAGTTTTATACAAACATAAAAAAAAAAAAAAAAAAAACCCCTTCAGCCAGTAGTGATGCAGCCCGTCGAGCCCCGGACTTTTCCAGTTCCGGGCCCTTCGGACCGCCTCAGATACATCGTCCGGCGTTATAATGACGGGGTCCATGGGCGTAAGATTCGCACACTGACTCACCACAACTTCCGTCCAAGGGCCCTCGCTGTGGTTTACGGGCTCTGACCACAGGCCGCGCCAGAATGCAACAGTGTCGGCCTGATTCGGTGCTTGGCCCGTTCCACGTACCATTGGTCGCTCCAATGATTTATAGAGCCTCTTCTGATCACTCTGGAAGAGACGATTCTGGTTGAACCGTGTCGACCTCTCGGTATATCGCCGAATCCGCTTTCCCCAAGCAGCGATTCTCTGCTTCAGGTTGTCTATGCGCTCCGTCAGCTTTTGCGTAATATCTGACTGGAACAAACTTATATTTGTCCCAGCAAACGCCATCCTGACGGTGCGCACAATTCTCGGTCTATTATTACCCGACCTGAAGCTTGTCAGTCTGCCGATTAGGGCTCTTGCCTTTGAGATACGGTCCTCAATTCTTTTTCTCCAGGCTGGGATGGCGCTACTGAGTCTAGTAGTGCGTCCAGCCGTGGGAAGTTTGGCGCCAATAATACGGCAAACTGCCAGTGCGGTGCCAACAAGAATTGAGTCCGTATCGCAAAGGTCCCGGCTGGCTTCAAAATAGGTCACCAGCATTGGGTTGAGAGCCCTCACGACAGCCCGATTCCACTTGCTTAGGGGTATGCGGGGAAGTCGCGGTTGATTTTCGAGAGGCGTACTGCGCGTTTCCAAAATAGCCTCTTCCAATATACTCCTCATTTGCTCTACTTTGTGGGAGACTATTTCATCATCGTCTGAATGAACCACAACTGGAATATCCACTGCGGCATCCACGTGTGCGGGTTGCTTTGCAATTAGTAGCGCCGCATTACCAGCTGCAGCATTTTCATCCGATGAGGGAACAGCCTCACGTCGTAATCGTTCGAGTTCGGCGTCACCAAATATGTTGGAGCACAGGATATACCGAACTCGGTCTGCCAGGCTTTGCTCCGTTACATGAACCGATGGCTCCAGCTCTACGAAAAAACGATGCATCCGAGCCCGATACGCCAACATTCCAGTTTCTTCCCCTTTCGCCCTAAAGTACGCTCGCAATGCGTTTTTGTTCATTATTTCCGTCCAACGCATGCGACGTGCTCCACCAGCGACGGATGCCACTTGCTGAGTCCGAGAAGACTCGGCTGACATCAAGCCCTCTGGTGGGGATGATGGATGCGGGCGGCTGCTAGGTGGTCTTGCAGCCCCCCGCGCTCGGCTGGCGGCCCGCATGCTGTCGCGTCCAGCGCCAGCTCCAGACGCGCCGTGGCGACCCCCAGGCAGCGGCCCTTTGCGCACTCTTCTTTTTTCCATCACCCATTAAAGGGGCGTCAATTAACGGGAGACACCCAGGCCCGGCACCGTTTCATGGTGCGGCCGTAAGCACAAACGAGCCTTTGCACCCTCAGTTCTGCCGAGGCACGGCGCTCACACCTCTTGGCAAGGCGCTGACTGACTGCGCTGACATAGCAGTTTTGTCACTTAACTGTTACGTCAGCGGGCGATGGGGTCGTCAATTCCCTACGCCTTTTTATCTATTATTATTATTATTATATTATTAATTATGATGACGATGACATACGACCCTGGTTTTACCTCCATATCTCTTATGTTAGTAGGTAGGTCGTAGATGACCAAAAATTTCTAAATTTTCACTAATACATAAGCTTATTTTAATACTACATTACTTTCATGTTGACAATAGGTCCACATATATAAAGTTGATAATCTCATTAAAGCTGTGAACACTTATTATATTTATGAAATGAAAGATGCCTCTCATGTGACCCTCTAAAAAAATTGGTTGCCTTACTATGATCGTTATAGTCAAGAATCAATATAAAAAGACACACTTAAATTTTAGGTGTTTATATGCATGAAAATGTCCACAAAATAGGGATATTTACGGGCTTACGGCGATGAGTTTACTTGCACACGTTCACCAAAAGTGGACCACAAATAAAATCAACAACACAAGTTGTTGCCTTTATAAATCAGAGTATGAAATACAGCTTGTAATTTTACAAGGTGTTTTCCAAATTTAATAGTCGAGTACACGAAGCTTGCCTTAAATTTCTTGGCAAAAAACTCGCTCCAAATGGACGATAATATTGAAAATTCCAATGCACTATTTTTGTAATAAATTTTTAACAATCGTTGAAGATTAAATAAGAATTTTTGTAGTTGATTTATTTCGAGCTGTTACGTACTTCTTTGTTCATGAAGAAAGAATGAACAAGGAAAGAGTTACAAAGTAAATTTATGTTGCAGAAATGAACAACAGAGTCAGTAAGAGACGTCCTAGACGAAAGTTTATCGACCAAATTGGCAATATATTGAAGATGGGCCATATTAAAAGTACCCCTAACCGACGAGCATGTATGCGTAGGTATTTGGATAATATAAATGAGATGAGGTGTGTCTGTCATGCCAAATGAAAGGCCGTAGTCTCTGCCTACCCCTCTGGGTGACAAGCATGAGTCTTTATGTATATTATGTATTGTTTTGTTATATTTTTTTTATATATACGATTATGCTGTTAATGACGTCCATCATGTTATTATAACAACTCTCATCATTATGGCCTTTCACAAGTCTACTTCTAAGTATAGGCTTCCTCCAAGGAATGCCACAAAACACAGATTTCTTACAACGTCGTCACTCCTTTTAGATGGGTTCACCCTTCGCTTCGCTATGAGGTATGAGGGTGACTCGAAAACCTTTCTTCCCCATCGGTTGTCGGCTTTTAGAGCTACGTTGCCAGCTTTATGACACTTCAACTAACTGATCGGTTGGGCTATATCGGCTACTATAGTCTTACCACGAAACTCTTTATTTCGAGTCATATCATACAGAGAAACTCCGAGCACTGACCTCTTCATAGCTCGCTGAATAACCATGAGATTCCTCATGACGTCTAATCTATACAAATAAATAAAATTGAAGTGTCTGTTTGTAAAGTCAAAATAACAGCTTTTTATTAAATATAAAATTTATAACATAACACAATTTTTTAAATTTTTGTCTGTTTGTCTATCTGTATGTCTGTCTGTTTGTTCTAGCTAATCTCCGAAACGGCTGGACTGATTTTGACGTGACTTTCACTGGCAGCTAGCTGATGTTATAGGGAGTAACTTAGGCTACTTAATATATTAAAAAAACAATTAGGGTTCCGCGCAAAAAAATTTAAATCCTAAATCACGCGGACGAATTCGCGGGGAACAGCTAGTTTTGAATTAAATTACCTCATATAAAACGAATAATAAATGGGAAAATATAAAGGGATTTATGGGAAACCTAGGGTTAAGGTTGTTACAAACCTACGTACTGAAAAAGTCTTTTTCAGTACGTAGGTTTGTAACAACCTTAACCCTAGGTTTTGCATCTACATATTGATTGTAATCGACTATAGGTGTAGATGTCTATGGGCCACAGTAATCACTTACAATCAGGTGAACTGTGTGCTCATTTGTCACCCTACCCTATAAAAAATTGTACTGTAACGGTAACTCCCCTAAATATTGCCTCATATGTTTATATCTGCCATAGATGCCACGCTTTGCAGTTGGGCAACCGCAGTTTTTATTTTTAGTAGTTATTAGGAAGACGCTGTAGCCCATCCCCTGATCTATATATATATATATATATATATATATATATATATATATATAGATCAGGGGATGGGCTAGGCTAGGATTTATCTACACTATGGAATAGGCTAGCAGTGGAACAGACCACTCGGGCTAATGAGCGACGATTTATTATGAAAGTATTATTTAAAACAAGCGCTGTACATACCTACAATAAAGTTCGCTCATAAATTGTTTGTAAAACAACTGGGCGTTACCAGCCCGACGCGGGTGACAAATGTTTATGCATTTCTCTCGTTGCAAGTTACGTTTTAAATTGTATGCAGTAAAACTGCAAGTCGTAGATTACGGACTTGGGATTTAAGATTTTTCATTTAACTTGTGCACATTGATCTATAATGTAAATATAATAACTTATTAGCTAGTTTATTATTAATAAACTAGCTGTTCCCTGCGTTTTCGTCCGCATGGAATTTATAAGGATTGGATTTCATAGGATTTTTTTGGCACATAAGACTAATTATAAAATAAAAGTTACCTAAGTTACTCCTTA